TACTTTTGCAAGCTCAGACTCCAGAGAGGAGGCAGCTGGCAGAGCCTTGCTACTAGAGCCTTGAATCTTTCAAAGCTGATTTTCCACCTCCCCCCAAGCATCCTCCTGTAGCATGAGCATACTTCTCTTGAAGGTATATTCCAGAAAAACCTCAAGTCTAGAATTAGATAATGGGTAGGGCTGAGAAATACTGAACTAGAGTTGCAGTGGGATATTATCAAAATGTTAATTAATGCTTGTTGTATTAATGGCACTGCTGAAATATCTTATTTGACACTCTGAATAACTGCTTCTTTGTTTTACACATGTATTTTTAAAGACTTGTCAATAAATTCTGGGACACTAGGCAAGAATTCTCTTGTACGCAGCAGTAAATTATAAAATAGGAAGAAGATGGAAAAAGTTCTGATGTAATCAGTACACATGCCGGCTGGCAGGCACGTATCAGAATGAATAGGGGCAAGATCTCTCTTCATACAAGAACTATTAATTTTTTAAAAAATATATATATTTTGTTTTTGCAGTTTGTGGTGGAACACTGATGGGGAATATAGGTGGGAACTTCTCTTCTCCTGGTTATGATGGTGTCAAAAATTACACAAGCAACTTGAACTGTGAATGGACCATTGAAAACCCCTCCCACTATAATTCATCCATATATATATCTTTTGAGAATTTCCACTTGGAACGTCACCAGGACTGCCAGTATGACTACCTAGAGTTACAAATAGGTTTGTATGTTCAGCAGACAAGATTCCAGTTGTGCAACTGTGCTTGTGCCAGATCTTGTTCATATATATTTGCAGAGAGTGATTGTCATGGGATCTGTGCATTTGAGAGGGTGTTCACACGCGTGCCTTTCATGTTGCCTTCTAGACAAGGAGTGGAATTTCACTGCCAGAGCAGTGGATGCATGGATTTGGTCACACTTTCTTTCAGGGGAGAAAATGGAAAACTGGATATATAGCTCTGGAGAGAAATTGTTTTGGTGGTTGCAACACACACCTGACTCTGTCTTTACAAAGGACAATGTAAATTTCACTTCGCCTCCCAAGATGCGAAAGATGTTAGTCAGGAAAAGCTGGAGTCATCAAAACAATTTCTCTGATCCACAGCCCATCCGTTCCCTGCTCCTGAAATATCTCCAGGGACAGCAGGAATGGAGTAAAGAATGCTTTAATGATTCATAGCCTCTGGGCTGCATACCCATTTCATACCCCATTTTCATACTCTATAAGATGATTCTCCAAAATCAAATCTATATTTCCTGTGAAACTGTCACCAAATACAGACTGAAGCATTTAAAAGGAAAACTACCACAGGATTAATGCACCAGTAGTATCTCTGCGTATTTGAGCATCTTTTAACTATCCATAAGAGCAAGCAACTAGAAATGTCATGTGAAGGTCACTCAGCTAATGCCAAGCATAGTATGAAAGCTCCAGCTGTCTCCTTCACTGTGAGGCTGTATCTGTCAGTTCTAGAGAGAGCAGGTCCTAATTTTCCAGGAAATTGTTTCTAACAGATGCGGGAGGAGATGGGGTTTGAAAGCCGGAATCTGTTACATGCTCATTTGTGTTCATTTGAACTAGAGCTCTTGGCTGTATAGCATTGGTTTGTCCTGTGTAGAGCCAAAGTATGCATGGCTGCATAGCCTCACAATTCCGCCCCAAGTATGCACTGGAGCTGGGAAATAACAGAAAGAGCATTCAGAGAAAGAAAGAATAAAATGTATTTAGTCTGTTACTCACCAGTTCCCACTACTTTCAGTTTATTGTGAACCTCAGGCCTCCAGGCAAAAGAGTCAAAGGAAAGAGGAAACAATATGTAGCCTTATTTTGCTCTGCACAGTTTTGTCATCTAAATAGTAATGTTCATTTTGGCCATACTAATGGCTCTTCAGCTTCACAATCAGTCTCATGTCAGAGGCAGAATGCTCTAAGTCAGCTGTGTATGCTGACAAGTGAACGCTGAGATGCAGATAGTGCAGAATATCACTAAACTCAGGCAGGTACTGTTTAAAACTCAACACAAGGAGATGTGAATCTGGGAAAAGGTCCAATTCAACAGTAAGTCACTTGAGGGACCATGAATGAAACTCAAATCTGCAAAATTCTTTTGAGTTACCCATAGAACAGACGTAATGGTATTCAATGAAAAGAAAAGGCAGAACTGACTTTTTGTATTCACTGAGAAATTTTTAATGTAAAAAGATAAACATTTCAAATTTCTTAGGGTAGGACCTTGTATTATGTCATTAAATTATCAGGTGTGATAGTATGTCCATGGTAGTACAGCTGAGCATATGGCTACAGTGAACTGTAATCCTAACTATTGGCTTTTGTGGAAGACTTATGATTTTTGTCTTTCAGACTGTTCCCTTAAGTCCAGCAGCCTGTTGTTATTAGAGAAGCAAACTTAGGAATGTCATTGCCTGGATGTCTTGAGGAACACTATCACACTGGCCATCCTTCTCCTGACAATGTATCATTAATAAGCAGAAACAGATACTTCTATCAGTGTGATGGATAAAAGCTCATACCAAACAATCAGCATCACAGAAGTGCAATGGCCTGTGTTCTTTTCTTTTATGTTTCAATAATTTGATTAAATGATTTTTTTTTTTTTTTTTTTTTTGTCATATAGCCAATATGTTGAGCTCCCTAGGGAAGAGATAGTTACTGTTAATATCACAGTGACAGCTTGTTCATGGATGAAGCACATACCTATGTGGTAGAAAGCCCAAAATCCCTGTTGACTTTAAGAAGGATGTCGCAAGCACACAGGCTCAATAGGCTTCCTTGGGCCATCTATGCCCTCTGTTCTGCCCCAAACATCTGCAGTTTTGGGGCACTTTCTGTTTTTTCAGGTCTGACGAGTCATACAAAATGAAAGTGTGCAGGATAGCAGGGAGAGGAGAGGAGAGGAGAGGAGAGGAGAGGAGAGGAGAGGAGAGGAGAGGAGAGGAGAAAAGAGGAGAGGAGAAGCCGAAGGTATTAAAAGGATCATTAATGCAGCTTTGGAGAGAGCTTGCTCATTTTTGAGGTTTAGATCCCAGCAATTAACTACATTACTCTACCTGTACTTATAACAACCAAACTGTTATTAAGTGTGACATGTACTTTTCTCTGTTTACTAGTCAAAACAAAATGAAATGCATGTTCACCCTGTGTATTCCTTTACATTACTGCAGCTTTTTTAGGATTCAAAAAGTGTATTTTTTTTCTTTCTTTACTCAGGAGATGCTGATGGAGAGCTAATAGCCAGACTTTGTGGTCAGGCTGCACCACCTGTGCCACTAGTCATAGCTGCCCCTCAGATCTGGGTACACTTTGTAACTGATGAAAATACAGAAGACAAAGGATTCTTGGCCCATTACACATTTGAAGGTAAATTGATTAGACTATTGTCCCTAATGACAGAGGCACTTGTAGGGACAGTTGCCATTCATTTGGTCATCCTGAGATAGCACTTTCAGAGGCCCTCAAAAGTTACATAGTGCCTGCCACTATTTATATCCATCTGAAGCAAACATATGCTAGCAATTAACTTTCAGATTTATTTTCTGCCTCACTGTTTCCATTCCCCAAACTGCATTTGAGTTTTTGCAATACACTGCAATGCTCAGAACAGCTGGTTGCCCTTGGGAATAAGGATGTAACAGGTAATTCTAGCCAAGTTTGACTGACCTCTAATTGGCCTCCAGAGTGCCAGCAAGGCTGTAATGCATACTGCTGCTTGAACCTTTGCACTGATTTTGAAATCCACTCAAAGACATATCAGCGCAAACTACACCACTTTGCCATTTACATGCCAGCGTAACTATTCTTGTCACAGCTGAATTTAGTCTTGGTGCGCATCTAGACACATCAGTAAATTTTTGACTTGGTTATGTTGGTCCAAGAATGGCACTGGCTTGCTTTGGAAGCTGAGATAAATAAATGGAAGACAACGTGGAAGAGGCAGCTGCAAAGTTTTGCAGAGATGTATTAAGTATCAGTAAATGCAAAGTTTCAAGGTCATTGCATCTGCTTAGTCACTATTCAGTGAGGAATATTTTAAAACTTGGATTTTCCCAGATAAATTATTCATCCTTACCTACATTGGTCCAACTTAAACTATATTAACTATATTTTAGTACTATTACAAGCTGAATAGTCTTAACACTCATTTGATTATAGTGTTCAGTCCATAAAATGTATTTAAATGTTACTTTTTTCTTCAGCCTGTGGTGGTATACAGTCAGGTGAAAGGGGAGTTATCTCAAGTCCTAACTACCCAGAGCCTTACAGCAATCTGAATCACTGCGCCTGGTTGTTGGAAGCCCCTGAAGGTGAAACCATCACTGTAAGTAACACAATGCCGTGATTGTCTGCACAGCTGGCAGTGTGAGAAGCATGCTCGGAGTCTTGAGGAACAGGCTTGAGACAATTTGGAAAATCAAAAATGTGGAGGAATAAAATATCTCCCCAACAGCTTTGTCTATGGAAGAGGGGGAAAGGAAGATAACCAAACTAGACTATGCTTTTTGAAAAGCAGAAGGAACCTAGTCTACCTTGACCTCAAAACATAGCACTGACTTCTGTGTTTAGGAAACTAAAATTACTCATGTTATTAGATGTGCATGGATGTTCTCACTACTGTGAGAATAAACACGAGGCTGAAGTTTTTGCATCTCTGCAGAAATGTTACAAGCCACTAGAAAGTTACTTTTAAGTCTTAATGGTTAATCTGGAAGATACTATGATTGCTGGTACAAATTACATCAATGAGATGATACTTTTATTTCCCAATGACTATCAACAACCTGCCCGAGGTGCTACTTTTTTGAGCCACACTGCTGAGAGACGAATTTAAGCATTTTTATGACCAAGCAGTGCTAAACTTCACTCCCTGAATTATTTGCCAGATCCTTTGGAGAACAGGTCCAATCAATGACATTTGAGGTCCAGGCCAGAAAAATATATAAAAAGAAATTTTGTAAAGAAATGTTGCAGATTTTCATATGTAATGTCTTTCACTAATTTCCCCATCATATTTTCCTTATTTACAGCTGCAAAGATATATCTTAGAAGTGCAAACCCATAGTCCTAATTATTCTGCTGCATGATATTCTGACCACTGCCTAGGTACTTACTTCAGGGAATACAGGATTATTTTAGCAGAACACAACATTTCTGTTTAATCTGCAGATTTTTTTTTAATGCAGAATTAATCTTAATCAGTTGGAAGCAAATTTCTATTTTGAAAGGACTGAGTAGTAGCCCCCTCAGTGAAGGCAGATTAACCTTTTCCAGTACAAGCTGCTCGTTTCTGTTGCTGGTAAAGTTCCAAACTTAAGCCATTTGAGCTAAATTTGTATTTCATCTTTGCCTTAGGCAGAGTTCTTTTGAAAATTAATATACACAAAAGTTACATGAAGAAATACTATGTATTTGCTACACTTTTCTACAGAGATCTTAATCCTGAACTGGAAAAAAGATTTATTGGAAGAAGGCCAGGCAGTCATTAGTGTACATCAGTATTTCAACATCAACAGCTCCAGGAGTCTATTGGATCAGCAGTCCCTGAACTGGAAAACCCACCTGTATGCATATTCCTCCAAGGACAAATGGCATCAAGTCTGGGAGAGAGACAGCATCAGAAGCTGCCTGCCCAACCCAGTCTATTTATATGATGCATCCAGGCCCACAGGAACCAACCATGCAACTGTTTCTCTCAGATTTAATGGAAACTAGTGTTATTTTTAGCAACTGTTAAGTGTCCTGATTCAAAATAATAGGAAGAAAAAATTTCAAGGCTTTATGCTTACATAACTCCTTCTGTTTGCATGTGAAACTTCAGATTTTATGCCCAGAGCCTTGAGAGCAGTGGCTCAGCATCTACATATGTCAAAGACCATTCTGAAGCACATACTTATGTTCAAACATATGGTTAAATCCCAATAATGGCAGTGTTGAACCTGCGTGTTCCTCTTCCATTTCTGTCTTCATGCTATAGTAACTGCTGTTACTTGGAGTGGCAAAACTCCAAGCAATACTTGCAGGAAAGCATCTAGGTGAAGTGAGGGTTGGATTTCTGAGCTTACCCAGATATCATTGTGCTAGGGTGGCTACAGGATCTGAATGGAATTGCTCTAACCCCTCTGCTGGTGTGACTGATGTTAGGTCCTGAGTGTCACTTCTGTGTGTTGCAGCTTACTTTTACAGCCTTCCACATTGAAAATCATTCACTTTGTGAGTGGGACTCTGTCACTATCCTGAACGGAGGCTCTCCTGGCTCTCCTCTCATAGGGAGGTACTGTGGAAACACATCCCCTGGGACTGTCCAGTCTGGGTCCAGCAAGCTATTCATCATCTTTAACTCTGATCACTCCATTCAAGGAGGTGGCTTTTATGCAACATGGACAGCAGAATCTCTAGGTAAGAGAAAAAATACTGGTGTTGTCAGCTCTAACGTAGCAGTACATCTTGCCTATATAGCACTTTTCAACCACAAAATTAAATAGGATTTATTCTCTTTAACTGAGTTTGCATTGAAGAGCAAAAGAAATACATGACAACATCTTCAGCATTCCTACGAGAAACCAACACTAAAAAAAGTGAAGTATTAAATGAGTGATGTCTGATCTCACACAATGAAATAAAATTTGGACTGATTTTGTACTTTTTAAGCCTCTCACTAGCAGTTTCTCAGTGTCTGTAAATTGATACCATGCCCATTATCCTCTCAGCAGTGGTATCTATTGTCAATGACTACAAGATTTTTCATTTCTTGAATAGAAATTGTTTCACAGTTTGATTTGGTTTGAACATTTAAAACTAGAAAGAGGTCAGTTTCAAAGCAGAGAGGCAGACAGAACATCTCAAAGAGCACATGTGACAGCAGCCTAAAAACATTCTGTTTCAGTGGAGATGTTGGTACTCTTCTGAAGGTGGTACCCATGCAGCATGGAATTGGTACATTTTAAAAATATACGTTCCCTCTGCTAAAATTATCATCTCTCTGGTTTAAAAAAAAAAGGTAGCTCACCACATGCACACTGTCCTTCAGGATGTTACTAAAGGTGAGCAAAGATACACTGGCTGGTGGCAGGGCAGGATTCGTTGTGGCTTCCTACCTCAGTAGAGAGCTGGCAATGTGTTCCCTGGTGTCACCTCCAGCTGTAAACCTTCTGGCTGATGCTGATTAGCTTTCCAGGAGTTAATGATCTAGCAGTATTCACACAGTCTGTTGATGGAGTGTTTTCTTAAACATGAGAGCAGTCTGTGCTTGCATGAATATACACTGTTACTTAAGCAGGTTTTTGACACTATTCCCCTTGTCACTGGCATTTCATGGGCAAGGAAGGCCACTCTTCAGTGATGCAGTAGACATTAGCATACATGTGCAGTGTGCACACTCAGTATTCTCTCTGTGAGAGGAGATTTCTTCTGTTATATACCTGGCTTCCTCACCTCAGCTTTCTTCTCATTTGTCCACTAATATCTGGTTCTGTATCTACAAGAAAAATTTGGCCTCATAATCTTCTAAACACAATTGCCATTTTTAATATATAAGAGTGAAATAAAATCTTCCTTTTAAAGGTAACAGACTTTTTTAATTAAGAGGGGAAAAGTAGAATGTTATAAAGCTTTTTTTGCTCTTTGTTCATCCTTTTACTACATTGTCTTTGAAATAATAATGGATTGATAGTACTGTACACATAACCCTAATAAATTTTTCTTGGTGTGGTATTTGCAAGTATGTTTCAAATTAACTAAACTTATTATGTATAAGAACATGAGCTGCCACAGAACCATGACCAGCTATTCCCCTTTAGAAATGAATCTGTTAACAATTTTTAAAGGCATGTTCTTCAGCCCTCTCCATAATCCCACTGAGATCCACAGGGCTGCCTGGGCTGGAGAAGTTGTCACCATTTTGTCCTGGGTAAATGGCTGTAGCTTGATTAGATTCACATGTGGAACTGCAATATTCTCCTCTTGCAGAGTAAGAAAAAAAAAAGGATTTGGCAGTAGATTGAGTCTTTTTCCTAGGGTGCTTTTCTGAATGGCTGTCAGTCACGATGTGCATACTGTAGGGTGTGGGAAGAAGCCCCTTGTTAATGCATTTCTGACCCTTTCTCTCTAAGTAATACTCACTTATAATTGTCAGGAGAATATAGATGGAAAGGGCAAAAGGGTATGAACTGGCAAGCAGAAGCTTGCAAAGAAGAGAAAGTGAAGTACTGAGATCTTCTCTAGACTGTAACTACCTCCCTGCTACAGGGATGGGAGAAGGAAAATGAACTAAAAAGAGGGGTAAATGAAGTTTGAATGGATGTCGGGTCTTTCCTCTCTCACTCTTGCAGCCACAGAAGCAAGCAGCCATTCAAAGGTGACACCAAAAGGAAATATTTGAGCATTTCTCCCCCCTGTTGTTATTTTTTCCAGGATGTGGTGGAATCATTCATTCAGATAATGGTATGATCAGGTCTCCTCATTGGCCTCAGAACTTCCCCATGAACACCAGATGCACATGGACCATCATTACACATGAAAGCAAACACCTGGAGATGAACTTCCACAGTAACTTCCAGATTCCAGATAGCAATGGAAGCTGCCAGAGCAGTTATGTGAAGGTAAAGTAATTGTAGGCATTAGATCAGCAGAGCAGTGCTTTAAGAAGTCATGATTCCAGAATCCAGTTTTGAAGTTATTATAGTTAGGATTGTTAAGGCACAAAATTCAGGAAATATAACCTGAAGTCTTTGTACCAATGCAGTCAGTTTTCTGTATGCCTTGGGAACTGGCTTGTATATATTTTTAACTTCTTCCAGTTCTTGAGATTCCACCTCCTGCAGGGTCCCAACACCCTACACACTGCCCCCAAAAAAGAAAAACATAAAAAAAATATATATGACTTCAGAACCAGGAAATAATGAGAAAATATAGTATAACGAAAAGATCTTTTGAGTTACTCCAGTGAGTAAAAAAGCAGGAATGTGACATTATAATTCTACAAAACATCTTTATAAGTGCATAAACTGTCCAAGTGGCACTAATCCTTCTTTTTTTTAATCACAAAGAAACAAAGATAGCATTCTTATCTTTCATAGGTTGTCAAGAGCCACTTGTTTTCAAAGCAATAGAATGGAGTGGACATGCTTTGAATTTTTCAGTGTCATTTCTTTTCTCAGGCATTTTGTGCTCATTTTCTCCACAGCAGTACAACTCCCACTTGAAATAAAGGGCAAACATAATTTGACAACATGTAGGAGGGCTCGAGCCTATGTTTCATTTTATATGTGTGTTGAAATTCAGTACTTAAACCGCGAGCCTCAAGTACATGTTTAAGTAGTTACCCGAAGAGAGTTTCACTTAAATACCTACCCAAACTTACATGCGCTTCTTGGATGCATGGTTTGATTGAAATTAAAGTGGTTCTTGGTACAATTGAAGTATTTTTTTAAAATCTTGTAATTTTATTTGTTATATTTTTCTGAATTATTTTGTTAACTGTCTACATTATTTTATACTTTTCATTGAACAAGTGAATAAAACATAACAAAAAAAGGAATAATATTTTATTGGCAAGACTATATATTAAGGAGACAGATCTTCCAGTTTGATGTGTCTGTATTACCCTATCATGACAGCTTTGGGGGTTATTTGACTTATGAATAATATAAGGATTGCATTTAATAACATATCATAGATATTCATATTCATAGGATATATGGAAATAAGTTAGCAGAGACAAAATGGAGGTAGGTAATAATGTGCATAAAATGTTATTCTCTGGTTCACTGGACCTGATCTATGCTTACTCTGCTACCTGCAGGGGTTTGAGCAAATGGCATCCAGATGCCCTTCAGAGGACCCTGACAACCGAAGTTATTCACTGTGGTTCCCTCCTTGGAGAAATCTTTGTGTTTCCACTCACTGCAGAGTGAGTGGGGAGGGATTAGCTCCGATTTAGATCTCTGAAATTCAGTGGGAGACGAATCCTACCCTAAAACTATGGAAAGAGCAATTGCATATGCAATTCCTGGTGGGTTCTCACAAACTACATGGTCTTTGAAGGCTCTAAACAATTTCCAATCTGTGCTTGTCAGGTGTGGAGAGGAAATGATGAAGAAGAAGAAGCAGCTTTGTTAACCAGAGGATGTGGAAGTTTGGCTCCTTATCCTGTTGTTGCTCCAAACAATGTGATAACTACAGTATTCCAGTCTCAGGATGCTCCTGGGACAGGTTTCTCTGCATCTTTCATAAGCAGTAAGTAATATTAAAGACAGATGGCTGCTCTATTAGTCCATTTTGGATTAGTTTGATCTGTGTGTGCCAGTTCTGACCTCAATCCAACAAGGAGTTGAAGCCTCTGCCCAGCTTTTGAAACCAAGTGTTTCCTTATTGAACATAGTGGAGCTACTGCATGCTCCAGTGTTGGATTTGCTCTAAGTCCTCTATTCAGCTATAACTTTGTAGTTGTTCTTAGCCATCTTTGCCTTTTCAATGTGTGGAAAAGAAATGAATAGGCTTTAAATTTTAAGAATTTTTTTCTCTGTAGTTAAACTGGCTGGAAGCTAAAACTATAGTCTTATTAAAAAGGGAAAAGGATCTGCTCCTACTTTAAAATATTTATCTCTGTTCTTCTTTTCAAGGCACATGCTGAAACTGGTCATTTCTTCTGTGTATGGTGTAGCCCATGCTCTTCACATAAATTTATTTCAGGAAAAGAAATTACTCCTCACTGCCTGCTCTAGCCTTTGCTTTGCTTTTTTGTATTTGCATTTCATGTAGCTCAGGTGGCATTTCTTGGGTGAGCCTCTCCATCTCTTTAACCATGGTATGTGCTTTGTGATGGTCAAACCCACCAGAAGAGTAGAAGGTGGTGCTTAATTGCCATCATTTCTTCAGGGTTTTTTGTAGGAAACTGCTTTCCCTTCACTGGTTTGAAATTAAAACAATGAGAAATCAAATGCTTAGAAGGAGACACTATTGAACCTGTGTATTAATTAACTATTGAATACAAAGAATTCTGAACTGAAACTGCTTTTGTTTTTATAATGTTTGCACTAATGTTGTCAGTAACAACTAACAACCTCTTTAGTGGAGACAATCACAAGCTTCGTATGCTTGTTCCTAATCTTACACCAGCATTTTACTGTGCACTGCACTTTTTTAAGCCTGTAGTTTAAAGAGAAAACCCAAGGCCATGCAAGTCATTAGGGTCAGAAGGAGCTCCATGAAAATGAACAGTTGTATGTGCTTGAGAAGCTCTGGGTGGCACAGCTTTCCTGTCTCTGCATATAGCAAATTACCCCAAAGACTCCCCAACAGCAAACTGTATCCTTCTGGCTGTTAGGCATGAAGTGAGGAAGGTACCACTTGGGCTAGCATGAGCATTTTCAAATGAGGCTAAACTGCTGATGTGCCCAAATAACCTCCCGTCCAATTCAGTTACATTTGTATGCACTAAGGGATTTGGAAATGTGCAGGCTCCAAACCCATAAGTATAGCACTGCTGTGTCCTTCTGGTCAATGGGCTGAGGGGCTATGGCCTGGTCTTATTCAAGACACTCCAAGATACTTCGTGAAGCTACAGGCAGGAAAGCCCTGTGTTTCCCAAAACCACTGCTGTGTCTGTGTTTAAGACCTACTTTTGCTATCATGATATATACTACTCTCCCTGGTTTGAAAACCAGCCTCTTAAGGAGTGATGAGGTCCTTGCGTTCATTATTGGTTTTCTTACTGCAAAAGCAGAGTGATGTTATCACTTGGCTCATAACTGTCTTATTTCTGTTTGCAGGATGTGGAGTAAACTTCACCAGGCCTGCAGGTCGTGTCGTCTCTCCTAACTACCCGAGCCAGTATGATAACAACCTGAACTGCAGCTACATCATAGATCAGGGACCACAGTCAGTGGTCATCCTGGAGTTTGAGACTTTCCACTTGGAAGGTAACTAGTTCTTCTTAATTTCACTGTGCACTGTGAAACACACTTGAAAACATACAGGTCTTCTATCATGGAAAATGGTTGGTGGTTTAATTTGCTGGTCCATTCTGAAAATCATTTCTAGACAAACTTTGACAGAGATAGTTTCCAGGGTTTAGTTTTGTGTCAGTAAAGGCTTCCAGAAGAGAGAAAACAGATCTCACCTGTTGAATATCATGCAGCAATGGAGTTGGGAATTTGCTAAGCGGTTAGAATATCAGTGACTGTGGCCTATTTGAGTCTTAATTCCTGCCTTTTTTCTTTTTTTTTGCCATTGAGCTTTATAATCTTTTTTATCTTAGGCCAGCTGTTTTCCATTTCAGTGCTTCTTTTTCCTTAACTGGTAAAATGCATACAAATATACTCAGGTATTTTACATGGATGTACAAACGTGTAAAGGTGAAACTAGGTGAAAGGCCACAGTAACTGAAAACACATAAAAGTTGTTACCCTGTATATATGCATGAACAAAAGTCCCTCTTGAGATTTTCAAACTTGGCAGCATTTAGCCAAGAAATAACAGCTATAGTATCCTGATCTCATTAGTGTGAAGAGTAAAACTTTCCCAACTTCAATAGGATCAAAATTTTATGGGTGGAGATGATATCATAGAGGAATAAGTATGTCCAAACCACTTGGGTGACATCATATGTTTTAAGGCTATATTAAACTGATTCCCTTGCAGTCACCTAGACAAAGAGATTTTTGAGTCATTTGTTACTAAGCTGGGGTGTGTAATTTAAACTTTTCTTCAGACCAAGTAATAAAGTTAGAAAATGGACTTATTTTATTTTCTTTTTAAGTTTTCAAACTGTTTTGAAGTCAAAACTATTCTGGTCCAAGCTTAATTTAGGTCTGAGACAAAGATTTGAATATAATTTTATATGAAATATTTTTTTTCACACCCTAATACAAACTGCTATTTTAAGAATTATTATTTTTAAATGAAATGTAGACCACAGAAATTACATACTTTCTTCATGTAGAAGTCATTATTATTCAGCAGAAACACTAAACATCAGGCTGAATTAGATTATACCAATTTTGACACCTCTATGAGGACATTACTGATCTATATTCTGTCTGTGCATTCAGTTAATTTATAAATGGATGCACGTTTTTATTATCATGAAGGTTAAAGCAAAGAGGTAAGTGCTACAGACATAGTAATTAACACAGATCTGTAAAATCTAAAAATATTCTGCTTCTTTCAGGGCGATTTGCTTCTTTATTGTTATAGACTTCCTTAGGCTACACAAATAATAAATCCTTAACTTTCATGAAAGAAAAGAACTGTGGATTTGAGCTAAAGGGCTCAAATAGAAGAGGAAGTATGATGCCTTCCAGTAGCTGATAATCAATATTTTTCACAAAATCTTAAAATACAATCCGGTAGCAAAGAGAATTTGACTGGATTTAAATTGGAAAGAAGATTGAAAACGCCATCCTGCAAAATATCATGCAGAAGTGAAAACTTACTCAGCAGTCCCACTGAATATGTTTAGCGTATGAGTCTAAGGATTTCCAGCACAAACTCCTTTAGTCCTTTTGCAAAGGCAGGACAGTGTTTGGTAGCATCTGTTAAAAATATTTCTAGCTATTCCATATGCAATGAAGCATTGCACCTGCTTAGATTGTTGCTGAGTGTGGCCTTTACAATTTTAATCATATTATTACAGATGTTCTGCATCGTTTTTTTAAAGTTTAGCTACATGTCCAGTGAACATAATTTACTTCCTATTTGACCTCTCAAAAGACATCCTTTTTTTTTTTTTTCTTATGTTGTTTATTAATGAAATGAAGTTTCTAAAATAATGCCTGTAAGTCATGCATCTCGCTGAGTTTAACTGGTTGAGAGATCTTTCCCAGAAAATTGGAAGGTACAAGGCAATTTGTTATAGTACAGTGACACGTTGGTACAAAATTGAATGACTTCATGGGTTAGTCACAGATCTCTGCTGTAGAGCAGTTATGTTTTCTATTACAATGAGATGCCTGCTCTGATTATAAAGAATGACTCCAAGTGAGGCATTTTGTATCAATCACTCCAGTAGTGATACAGTGTCAGCACCTGTTAACAAATGAATGTGACATGCATGTACTTAACATCAACTATGTATTAAGCACTAAATATAGCAAATAAAAGAGCAAGAGAGAACTGGAGGAAATTGCATTTGTTGATTCTGTGATAAAAATTTAATCTAAATTGTCTGCTTCACAGTAGGCAAAAAAATTGTTTCTATCTGACTTTGAGACCCTGAAAACAGACATCTGATTTAGATTATCATCTGGATTTATCTCCTCCTATAGTTAAGTGAAAAAGTGCTTTAAATTCAAACCCAAATGTGTCATACAAGTGGAATGAATTGCATTCTGAGAGCCTCCCTGTCTCTTTACCCACTGACTATTACAGTAGCTTACACAAGATACTTAAGATTTAGGCGGCAAGACACAGGCAAGATCAACACTGTGAATGGACTTTGGTTTAGTCAGTGGTTTCCTTGCAGCCTGAAGAACATCTCTTCTTGTGCCAAACTGAGTATGGTTACAGAACCTCTCTTTGTTGCCTGTTTACTTAAGTTGTGTAGGTTGCCACTTGTTCCTTATAGTGCCACCTGCATTGTTGTGTTTGGTTATTTTAGAAAGCCAAAAAAATGAGGTGAGCTTGTTTTCTTAGCCCCACTTCTGCAACTGATAAATGTCACCTTCCATCTGTTCTCCCTCCTTGGATCAAAGGTCTACACAAATATAACCTATTAGAATTAGATAAAAAAATTATCCATCTATCTTAGACTCACTATCTAAGAAAAAATTAATCACATCCATCTTTTGTTCATAAGCTTTATTCAGATGAAAGTCCTTACAAATACACTTTTGGGACAGCTATGGTAGTGTATTCTTAAATGGCTCTAATAGTCTTCAAGTGCACGTATAACATCCAAGAAGTCTGAGTTCCAAACCATGAAAAATCAGAGGAAATGGATGTGGACCTCTTAGAATCATAGAACCATAGGGGTTGGA